TATCGATATGTGTGTATTTTTCAAAAAACTGCGAGATAAACTGCGACCCAAAAGTCGAGAATCTGATACGCTTAACAGCAGGGCAGTGGCATAAAACATGCTCAACCGCCTCCACTTCCTCCGCACATAGTCGGCGTTCAACATCCCAACAAGTTGAGGTGTGCTTTTAATCGGCAGTGCCCAGTAAAGACACCCATTAGAACTTTTATGTTGCTACGAGCAAGTCCTAAAATATTCCCGAGCTTGACAGTGGCGATGTTAATAAACACCTTTACATGTCTCATTCCAGAAGAACTGGTCCACAGTCCGCGAAGTCTCTCTTATACAGAAACTCTGTTATCACAACTCAGTGTGTTTAATGTTCTCTTGCAGTCATTAAGCAGAGCCGACACCGTTTTCACGGCTTGCAGCGCCTAGAGAGCGGCTTGACCGTCTGAGAAAAGTCGTACTGTCATGTTCTTCACCGCTCTCTCAAGAAGGATTTTAGCACCCATGTCAATAGCAAATACTTCCGCCTGGAATACTGTACAGTACGTACCCAGGCTGTAAGCTTGCTTAATTCAAGGTGTCTGGCAGTATACAGCCGCTGCGAACCCTTCCGGCGTTTTTGATCCATCTGTGAACATGCAAATATCTGCCTGAACCAGAAAATTTTCATTTTCGATCCAGGACTGCCGTTCAGGCAGTACAATCTGGTATCGAGCATTAATCACTGATAATGAACCCGTCAAATCTGACGGCATTGATTGTACAGTATCAGTGCTTATAAAATCTTCCGCAGCCCATTGGTAGGACATGTCGGTACAGTTTTGAGCCACGTTCTCTCTATGCAAATGCAGAGGACATAAGCCAAGCAGAACCTCTATTGCTAGAGTTGGCGTGGTGCTTATCGCACCAGTGATTGCCAATGCGCAAATGTATCTAGGGTCACTTGGAGAACTTTGGATATCTTCGACAAACAGGTTCCTTTGACCATAACGTCCTCAGCATAAGCTTGTATTCCTATACCAACGGCTTCGACTATCGCAATCAGAAAGACATTGTCTTCTCCGGGCGATTTGAACGGCTTAAACGTTTGAATCGCCTGGGCGACGGATGTGCAAGTGATGACTTTTCTAGTCACACTCCAATCCATATTTGAGGGGTGCTTTGCCATACAGGAATAGCCCGCTGTGGCATTATCAGCCTCCATCATCAACTTTCTACCAACAGCTTCTTCTCAAGTTCAAAGATAGGTTGTCAAGAAAATCTTCTAACCAGTATGTAACAAATTCAGGTAACGCTCTGCCGTTAAAACGCCGTCATAAATGACGTAAGAGAACCTCCCTCATAAGGTAAAAATCCATCATAAGGTAAAAAACGTTGAAACTAAACCTAACCCGATAGTTTCTTTCTCGGATTGCATTCGAGATAACGGAAGTCCAAATATGGGTGCTATGTCTGTTAAAGATACCTTTGTGCGAAAACTTGGATTCGTCCGTCCATAAAACTTTAAAACTAAGAACGTGTTTAATTAAACATCCATAGACAAAGATTGTCACATTGACAACTGAAAAAATTAATGACCCAATGTCACCAACTTTAACTGGTTCCATAAAATGTTACTAAAATCTCATTACAGCATCGATGCTGTAAGGAGTCACATTACAGCACCCGTTTGAGTACTGTAATAGCTTTCATTACCGTCGCGAATTACAAAAAGTATGTTTTTGCTGCCGGTTGGTGATAAAGATAATTTCCTTAAGGCGTTTGCTTCCGACGAAGGCAGTCTCGAACTAATGCCTGCTGTCATGGCAGCTATAGAAAACGTTATAATCTCTTTTCCGTAAATGGCCCCGCTCGGTTCATCTAACTTCTTAGATATGGGTTATCCCACTCTTGTACTTCACCAGGATATCTTTGGTGATTAAAAAATAAACAACTGATCATTTGTTTGAAAAAAATTATTCATGCTGAAATTTATGTTAGCCATTATAAGTATATCAAAGTAAACCGCACACATAATGTATATTGCCCATTCTCCACAAATGCAACAAACAATATGACGTATAAATATTCTTCACTACTTGTACAGGGTGGGCCACGGGAACCAAGTGGTTTTGGAATACTTACAAAATTTTTAGATTTTGCTGTAAACGAAATTTGTTGTTAAAAAAATCTTTATAAGTTTTCGTTGATACATTGTTGAAGACGTTGAAGAAGATTGGTCTCCAATCTGTCCAGTCAGTCTCTATTGATTTGAGTTATTTGTTGACGGATCGCCTCTTTCAACTCAACCAATGTACTTGTAAAACATATTCCTTCAGGTACCCCCATAGAAAACAGTCACATGTGGACAAGTCAGGGTTCCGAGGAGGCCATAACAGGTCACCAAATCTCGAAATGAGATGATTATGAAACAGGAGTCGAACAGCAGTGGCTCCGTCTTGCTGAAACCACAAAAGCTGACTATCAATATTTCGTTTTTGTAACTCGGGGATGAAATCTGTTCACCATGTTAACGTAACGGTGACTTGTAACAGTTATAGCACCCAATTTTTTTCGAAAAAATAGGGTATCATGCCGAATTTTCAATACAATCTAAAGGAATGCGAATTTCGGTTTGTAATTTTGACATCGTATTCTTGGATAGTTAAGCTAACGATTTATGCAATAAAAAAAACATCAATTTTTTTAACCTTCTAATGTGGTTTCCCCCCTTAAGCGGTTCCCTAAACAGTGCTATTGAAACACATTGGTTTAACTTTTCTTACTGCTACGGCTACGGCTAAGGTTACGGCTACAGTCGTTAAGTTTGACATCCTAAACCCACCATAAGTGTCTAATATGTATAGTTATAAGACAAGTTGTAACTTGTAAAGGAGAGCAATAAAGAAGTGATGTTCGAGGGAATAACACGTATAACACACTCTCGTTATAGAAGAGAAGGCCGTGCGCTAGGTGTTGTTGCATTTGTTGGTCTATAGTATAGCATTTCACTATCAATTACTATCATGGAGTCGTGGACGCTAGAACATCGGATGTTTGCGTACGATTTTATTGTTAAAAATAACGAGTTAGTGACAGCAGAACAACGTGCGTTTCGTCGTAGATTTAATGTTCATCGAAATGACGGTGTTTCCTCCCGTGACACAATCTTGCGCTGGGTTAATAATCTTCAAACTACATTCTTAATAATTAAAAAAAAACAACGTCACCAACTTGGAATCAGTAATCGCACTGTAAGACGGATTTTGCATACAGACTTACAATTTCACCCTTACAAGATAGCCATTGTGCAGAAGCTAAATGTAACGGATTACCGCCAACGGGTGCATTTCGTGCAGGAAATGCTTGCACATTATGAACAGAATAAAAACATTATGGTGGCAATGAGTTATGAGGCCCATTTCCACCTTAATAGGGTCGTCAATAAACAAAATTATCGGTATTGATTGATCGCACACCACTTACGTGAATATATGAATCACGTGACTCACGCGTGATTCACGTGTGACGGCATTAGCGAAAAAGCTCAGCACTTACTATGGACTAGCGATTCGAAGACATACACATCGATGTGTAGAAAATATGAAAACAGCGATTATGGCGACATACTATCATATGATATCCACCGATGAAATTCTCGACACGAGTGTTGCCCACAGGGAAAAGACAGCTGGTGCGTGTGGTAGAAACGAACAGCTCTTGGTATGGAGCTTGCACCGCATCCTACTCCATTGCATCCCGACATACAGCAGGAAATTCTGCATATATATGAGGCTTTATCAAGGGATGAATTACTGGAAAAATGTTTAGGTGGCAACACGCAAAACGCAAATGCAAGCTTTAATTTCACAATTTGGCGATTAGTTCCTAAACATTTGCATCTCCGGATTAAAAGTCATCGAATTTTGGATGCGGATTTAACGGATGAAAAAAGTTACGTACTAAAATTTTCATGAAAATAATATTTTTATTGTAATTAATAGTAATTAGTAAACTATTAATTGGTAATTAGTAATTATTTATTGGAACGGAGCTCAGTTAAACTATATGCAGATGCAGATGCGGATCCTCAAAACAATGCGGATTATCCGCAGTTGCGGATGCGAATATCCGTTACATCACTAGTACTTAGCCGCGGGGTTATTCAATGAAGGAAATTCATCCCTTCTGATGATCATGAACGAAGCAGGAATTGTAGTAGGTACGCAAAGCTTCAACTACGCTGAACAAATAGATAACCAGAGCGTGAGTCGACAAAATCGACGTAGTTCATTGAAGTCGAAGGAAGGTCGAAAAGCTCGAAAAGCACTGCTGCTAGTTTTCGAGATTTTTTTTCAAACGCGTTTTCTCAAAATGACTATATTCACATTTGCGGGAACTCTAACTCAAAACGTAATGAACCAATCATTATGAAAATTGATAGTATGATTCTTTATGAAATTACAACATGAACCAACTTTTGACATGATATCATGATTTTAAGAGCTTTTTTTTGCATAATGAGTAAAAAAAAAGTGAAATTTTAAGTAAACTTTTCCCATACTTGCAAAATTTTTAATTTTCTTTACATTTACCTGCATTGAGGTTCATATTCTTAGAAAATAAGTTATTAATCTAAAATGAAAAGCTTTTTGATATCAGATGAGAGATTCAGAACAGAGTATTCACCACATACTTTTACTTTTAAACGTTCCGTACTTTTCTCGTTATTTTATTGACTACATATTTAAATTTTAAAATTTTAAAGTTGCTTCCTAAACGGGTCAGCTGTAAGCGTTAAGTTCCTTAGCGTTACGGTTACAACTACTGCTACGGTTATAGTTTGATATCCTAAACCAGCCATTAGTTGCCTACCACGGCACCGCTACAGAGAGAATAACAGCCCTTCCAAAACCGTTTGATTCCCGTGCCTCACCCTGTATATTCTATAAAAATATAAATTTCACATTGCCAACTTTACAACACCATTTTTGGTTCATTAAACCATTATACAATTAAAAGATATATTCTAATAAGATTTATTTTTACTGTTTAATTTATAAATTATATATATATAATATACATCTTCGAAATAATTAAGAAAATATATCACAAAAAGGAAATTCGGACTTTTCTGGATTAAGTAAATCTCCAACATAACAAGCAGTTCCAGCTAAGCCTTCATATAAACTATAAGGATTATCAGGTGTACGAGCTTTTTTTTGAAATTCATCGTTGTACATAAAATGGAAGAAACAATTCGCTCGATGTAAATATTTCAAATCGTGGGTGAGGCGATATAGAAGTAAAAATACATATCCATTTCCAGCGATTCCATGACATAAACCAGGTCCCTTCTTCAGCAAACCCTTCTTCCAAATTAAGTCAGCAGAACGTTTTATGCCGTCCAGATATTTTTGATCGTTCCAAATTTGGTAAGCTTTAGCAAAAAGATAAGCTGTACCCCCAGCACCATGACACCAGTGAACCAATTCGTTATGTGCAGAGTTTATTTCATCCATTGCGGTTGGAAAATTGCCCTCGGAATCTTGTAGGGATAAAAGATAATCAATGCTAGCTCGAATATCACGCGCATCTTTTGGATTTGCTTCTATATATCCTGGTACGGATATGACGTAAAACAAAATTGAAGCTAAACCATGACCAGCTCCTAAATACTCTACATTATAATATGAGTACATCAATGGTGTTGGAAAATTATAACGTTGAGCATAATTGCGCCCTGATTCCACTGTAACACGACATAATTCGTATAGATCATCTTGATTGAAATTATGTCCAAGTTCTCTTTGAAGCCAAAGAGCACCACATAAATATCCAGCTCTACCAACAAATAATTCGTCAGAACCACAACTTAAAAACTCAATATTTTTACAGATCTTGCCAGCTTCAATGTATAAATTTAAATTTTTTGTGCTCTCACTAAAATCAAGTTGTGTGTTAAATATAGCAGCTGCAATGGCATAAATTCCTGCATTTCCAAGCAGAAATGATGGTAAATCTGATTTTTGAACATGCTTTTTTAAGCATAGCTCAAGAGCAGGTTTTATGTAGTCTACAGCTTGTTGCAAATAAATCTCACGGTGCTCTTTTAACGCATCAATCTTACTTAAATGGTAGAACATGTAAGCTATTCCTGCCGTTCCAAGATATAAACCATCCTCAGCATTTCTTAAAGTCGCCTTATACTTTGTTGTGATCTTATTTACCATTTCATTTAAAGTTGGCTTTACCACTGCCTCCGTCAGAGGTTTTACAAGCTCGCCCTGGGCAAGATCCGACATGGAATTGACAAAAAAACGTCCTGGTGACATGGTTGTAGAGGTATCTGAAGAACTTATTTTTGAAAACAGTCTAGTAATCGCCCGTTTCATTGAAAGGCTAATTCGGTCATTTTAAACTAGAAATGTGGATTTTATTTATACTATTTAAAAGCAATGTACGGTACTTACGTTTTTTATAAATTAGTTTTTAAAAGTCAATGTTTGTTTATTTTTATATATAAAACGAAAAATATTTTTGTTTTACGTCTGTAATGAAATGTCAAAAATCAGCGACATCTATAATAATTATAAATAAGTATTTACCTGGAATTGTAAAATGAAAGCAAAATCAAGAAAATATTGTATAATCGGTGCCAAATTTATTTATTTATACTATAAAAAGTGAACAAGTTCTTTGATTTTATTGATTATTTTATTATTTTTTTATAAATACGCATAATAGTTGGAGTATGAATGTAGTTAACTGAAGTTTGCGGCTGTGACTATTAGAGGTCACTATAATCTTGAATAATTTCTTTATAAAATGAAGTTTCTACTTGAAGTTTTCAATCTAAATATGTGAATATAACGAAATAGTTTTTTAATACATCGAGTAATAAAAATTAAATTTTGGTTATGATCTTAATGCACAATAATATACAGAGGAACCTACCAGAAAACGGCGCCATCTATGAACTGATAATTGAAAGCCGTAAAACAATTTGAATAGAACTATTTATTTTTTTCTAGTTAATCGGGTTTAACCAAAAGGTTCGCTTTGTTTTCTTCGCAAATTGGAAAATTTTATCTTATTTACAATGGAAACGTGGAATAATGAAAGCACAGGAGTTAATAATCAACACAGAAAAACTTCAAAAAAAAAATTAACGACTCATCAGAAACATATAGCTGCCAAACGACAAAGGTTCAAAACAAATCACATGAATAAAACAAAAAGGAATGCCTGTGAATATTCAATACAGTCCAAGTTAAAACTAGCTATTGCGACAACAAACTTTCCACAAGAAAAATTAACAAAAACTCTAACAAAACTAATATACAATATTTGGGAGGAAAAATCCAAGCAATCACACAACAAAATATCTCGATACTTAAAAAACTCTACATTTGTCCATGGTTGTCTTGTTTTTCATAATGTTAATAAACGACTGAAAAAATGGCTTGAATCAGTAATTTTGGAATGCAACAATAACCAAAAGTGGCACAAACTAAGGGGTCCTACACTTTGTGTTACATCATACGATAAAGTCAAGTTGATACAAGTAAAAGTAATGATTCCAACTATGGGAAGTGCTGCTGATATAAAGAATAGGCTTAAAGTGCAAAATAAGGAGCTAGATTCCAGGAATTGGACATTTCTTTCTTGTAAAGACCATACTGGCGGTATGACACAATGTGTGTTTGCTATTACCAATAATTATTTGATGAAGTTAAAAGAAAGGAGATTTGTTTTATATTTTGGATTGAGGAAAGTTTATGCATCAATATAAAAGAAAATTGTAAGTAATATTTATTAATAGTATTCATTCCACTGTTACTTTATTTTTTTTTACTGTCTTGCACATAGGAATCTAGAATATAATATCTATTTACTTATTAAGTACTAGTTTTTCTTACTGTCTACTTCTAAAGTGAATAAATTGTTATCATGCAACAATTCAACTTTACCATTTTGATGGATCTGTATGTGCTGAAATGAAATTCTTTTCAGGTATACTTGCATTTCAAATAGATCATACCATTTAATATGTTGCATGTATATGGATTCCTAGGTGACTAGAACTTTTAGTAACATAAATATTTAGTATTTCAGTTCTCTTAACAGTTTGACTAATAGTTTTGTAAACAACTGTCACTCAACCTAAACACTTTTAATTCTACCTCAGTCCATTGATTCCTGCTGCATTTTTCTCTATCCCAATGGCTTTAATCAGCAATGAGTTTCTTGTAGGTGTGTGAAGTACAAATTGCTTCCTAAATGAATTAAAAACATTGAATTGTTTACACACGCTGATTTTTGTAACTTATTTATTATAACTGTTGATGTGATTTGATTATTTCACTACTGTAACAAAGTATAGTAGAAAGCTGAAGAATACCTGTAAGTTGCTGTTAATAATTGTTTAATTGTAGCGCTGCACTATGAAAAATTTGAGCCATTAGCTGATCATAAATGGATTTTTTGAAAGTCATGATTTATTTCTTTTTTCAAATGAATCTTATCATAGAAGGTTTTTAGTATAGGCTCTATAGTATATGTCATTTTAAAGTCTATTTTTTAAAACATATAAAAAAACAGCTGCCAACATTTGCCTTTTTAGAAGTTATAACTTTAAAAGTTAGAGTCCACGTCACGCTCGGATATGTTATTTTTGTTTACTGTCTGACGACCACATACATAGTTTAAATATATACAGGCTGAGTTTTTTCCCATGTTTGGTATAGAGACCTTGAAAACTAGCGGAGATAGAGAGACGATTAAATAGGGAAACTAGGGAAAGAATTGCAATTTCATGAACTCAATTTAATGAGCTTTTTGTTTTTTGGATAAAAAGCATGGCTAACTAGATATCTCGAAAATACCGTTTTTTTTGTAATATTTTGTTAGATACCTATGGCTGCAAACGTATCTATCAATTGTTTTCATAGATGGAAGAATAAATGGCTATAATTTATTAATTAATAAAAATATCTATGTCAAGTGGTATATCATTAGAATCATTGAGAAAAGGACTTTTTTATAAAGTCATGGCCAACTATGGTTTCCATTAGAAAAATTACAACTTTGTGTCATAACTCAAAAATTATTACTTAAATAAAAAAATCAGTTAGACTACTTTATTAAGCATGTAATAGCCTACAAATTTTTCCTTTAGACATTTTTCCTAAAATCAATAATAGCGGTGCCATAGGTATCGAACGATATAACAAAAAAACGATTTTTTCGAGATATCAGGTTAGCCATGTATTTCATCCAAAAAACAAAAAGCTCATTAAAGAGTTCATGAAACTGCAATTCTTTCCCTATTTGATCGTCTCTTTAACTCCGCTAGTTTTCGAGATCTCCATGGAAAAAAACTCACCCTGTATATGCAGGCTGTTTCATAATACATGCGCAGGACTTTACGATGTGATAGCTTGTCCAAAAATTTGAAAAAAAGTTTCTATCAACTTACCCTGTAAAATGTACTATTTTCGAGATACAAGGTATTGAAATTTAATTAAAAAAATTGGTTTTTTGGGGATATCTCCGGAACCGTTTATCGTACAGAAAACAGCTTTTGAAAGCATTTTCTACTCATAATAGGCAAAGTTTTGTGCGAAAAAAATTTTTTTAAAGTCATAATTAGTGAAGATTTTGAAGGGGAAGTGGTTGTTTTTCTCCCCAACTTTTACGCCACTGGAAAAAGTACGGTTTTGAGACGCCCATTCGTCGTCCAACTATTGGCAAGCAACCAAACTAAAGTGGACTGGAGCCCCATCATGCATAAAGTACATGTTTTGTCTCACTTGAAGCGGTACCTCTTCCAGCAGTTCCGGCAGTACTTCTTCTAGAAATTGTCGATAATCGGCACCGTTTAATCTGTTCGATAAAAAATGTGGGCCTATCAAATGATCACCGACGATAGCAACCCAAACATTTACGGAAAATTGTTGCTTATAATGGCCTTCTGCAATTTCATGTGGATTTTCTTCTGCCCATATGTGGTTATTGTGAAAATTGAAAATACCATCCTTCGAGAAAGATGCTTCATCGGTAAACAGAACTTCGGTTCCAAACTCAGGATTTTGAGCTATTTTGTCTTGCATCCATGTACAAAAAGCCAATCTTGGCGGAAAATCTCTTAGCAATAAGGCTTGTACTCTTTGGATATGGTAGGGATACAAAAGTTGCCTTTTCAAAATTCTCCAAACCGTCGAGTGAGATAGGTTTAAGTTGTGAGCAATTTTTCTGGTACTTGTGACAGCCTCTTCTACTTGGGGATTTGCAACTTCCATAAGCCGCCCATTATCAGCAGTATTCCTTTTAAAACTCTCATTTTCCCATAGTCGTTGGTGAATGCGTAGAAACAAGTTATGGTGCGGTACTGGGCGATCAGGATGTCTTTCTTGATACAACCGCCTTACTTCTGCCGAATTACCGCACGCCATTCCGTATTACCATGCATTTCGCACATTTCAGCGTTTGTGTAATTCATTTTTAATTTTGTAATACAAGTTTACTTTTTGCAGGTACAAACTAATTGTTATTTTGACAGGAGGTAGCTTTTGTTATAAAATTTAGCCTAGTTATTAAAAATAAATTTATATTTTTTTACATAAACGCTGAAATGTGCGAAATACGTTACGGTTTAGAGAATTTTGAAAAGACAACTTTTGTATCATTTTTTCATTTTTTTTTATTTTGCAATTATGATGTTAATGCTTGCTTTTGTTATTTGTTCTAACGTTTACATAAATTTTTTTTAATTATAAAATAAAATTATATAGATAAATGGTTCCGGAGATATTCGCAAAAAACGATTTTTTTTTATTAAATTTCAACACCCTGTATCTCGAAAATGGTGCATTTTAGAGGGTAAGTTGATAGAAACTTTTTTTTCAAATTTTTGGCCCTGCGCATATATTATGAAACACGCGGTATAATATGACTTTTGTTAGGTTAGATAGTTTATCTACGACTGCTTGGATAAGTCATTATTACCACACTCATTTGAGGTGATTTGAGTTACGTAATGAAGTTCATTGCCGCACTGGTTTCATTACGTAACGCATTTTTAGCCCAATCAGAACAGACTTAATTTATTGAAACGAGCAACAATACAAAAGAAAAAGTGCTACCTATTTAAAGAGAAACAATACTATTTATTATAAACATTAATTGTTATATTTTTACATTTCGAAACACTTATTCCAGATGAGTAAACATGTTGTTGAAACTGACAATTCAAAATTGTCAACAATCATTTCAAAATATTTTTATAAATGTCAAATAGACTTTTTTAATGAAATTGATTTTTTAGTAATTTTTAACAGTCGTAGATAAAATGCTGTATATCACACGTGGGCTAGTGCATAATTACAGTACTCGTGTGATTACATGACTCAGTCTACGACCTCGTCGTGCAATTCTCCGCACTCATACAGTAATTATATTTCTAGCCCACTTGTAATATAAATAACTATTAAACTTGGCATACAGAATAATAATAGCGCGAGACATCTTCACAAGATTGAGAATCATACGATTATTAGAATTCTATTAATTGAATCAGTTTATAAACCTGGATCAAAAATTTTGTTTTGTATAGCAAGTGGAGATATGATGGCTCACCCGGACAAAACGAATATAAGTAAGTATTAGCTGGGAAGTCGAATATTATTTGATATATCTGACGCTAATTTTTCGTTACTACATTTCATCACCTGAAAATTATTTTGAACCAAGTCCTTTACGTCTACAAAGCAGTAATTTGGATTTAAACGTTAGCATATAACGTAGCATGTAACTACAGGCTATTTCTAAGGTCATGTTAAGATTAGTGGTATAGTAGACGCCACGAGAGCTGGCAGTAAATCATCGTTTTCCGCTCTTACAAATGCCATACGTAGTAAATTAAAATTCACAAACCGCTATAGAGTAATGTGTGTTAGAAAGAGGTAGCATTAGTTTAATATGTCTGCTGTACAATTCAAATAGCCACCTCGAAAAAGTACGTCTGTTCTTCTAACGGATGTAACTCTAAGGGAATCTGTCAGTGTTTTCACAAGCCGAAAATGAAATAAATTATGAACCACTGTTTAAATAAAACTTACTTAATCCCTTGCGGCCGGTAAATAACCTTTTAAAGTATTTGTTAAATAAATTAATATTAACGATTTTTCGCTGCTTAACCTCTCCTAAATTTGACAATGTGTGACATATAACCTACATTACTAACCTAACATACATTTAAATGTATGTGGTGAAATAATCTAAGTCGCACGTCCATATCTTGATTCATACCATTTTTAAACGTCAAGTCACTGCCAGCTCTCCTGGTTTCTACTATATCAAGTCATATTTCATTTTTGTTGCATGCTCTGTTGTCATGGATACACCAGCCGTATAAGGTCATATTTAGAAGTAGGGGTGATTGAACGAAGACTGGGCCTCAACTAAAAATAGGACCTAGCCTGATACAACGATGCTTCAAAGACAGTTAGATCCGGAGTAGGCACGGGCATCAGTAGACCAAATAGCCAAATTAAATTGCCCCTCAGTTCGGACATAATCATTTTTCAAACAGAAGTTCTTGCTATAAACTTCTGCACCGTTTTGAACCTACAAAAGGGGCATCTATAAACATTTTCAGACAGTCGGGCCGCCCTAAAAGCAATTCAGGCCTACACGTGTTACTCCGCACTGATCAGAGAGTGTACCAACAACCTGAGAGAACTCGCTAAGGGCAATGATGTTACTCTATGGTGGATTCCAGATCACAGAAACATTGAGGACAATGAGAAGGCGGACAAGCTGGTCAGAGAGGCAGCGAAAACGCCCTTCATTGGACCCAACCCGGTTGCCTACCGACATATAAAGGGACAAGACCTTGGAGCAATACTAAGGTTCATTAAGGACCTACAGTTGCCCTAAACTTTTAGAGGGCTAAAGTTACAATACATCTTATAGGTCGCGGTGACGAGAGAGGCCACTCCCCTTAGCCCGGCAACAATTATATTAATAATAAATAATATCATTGGTAAATACAAGTGCATATAGTAAGATTGTGTTTTAGACATGGTTCAAAATAATTCTCAGGTGACGATTTGTACCAAATTATACCTATCGGATTGATTGATGAAGAAACTGCGTAAAGCATTTTTGTCGGCTAATTTCAATCGACTTCGACGATATTCAAAGCCAAATTAATATTTTGAGTCTATTAGCAATTAGTAAACAGAAAATAATAATACATTGCGCTATGGTTTATCAATGCTAGTTGCTTGAGACGTATGGAGATGATTCTACATATTCCGTATGGGAAAGGTAGATCTTACGAAAGCGGTCAGGTTTTGGTCCCGACACAATTCCGTAAAAAGCTTGGTTTGATAATTGATAAATCAAAGCAAGTAAATGGTAATACAAACAATGAAAATACCTGTGAAATCCGCAGAAATTACCGGTGTCGACGAAATATTTATTAAGGGACTTTATATAATTCAGAATTTAACACCGGGTGTAGATCCAAAAAAATTTGGAGAGTATGCAATGAAACGATAAAAATATATATTAAAACTTACGACTGCTATCAGATGCCACCACAGATGGTGAACGTATCATACGACATTTTGCAATTTTACCTCTTAGACTGTTTATTGGCACGTCGAGCCAATAACGTTTTTCAATCTTTCCCACAAACTTTATTAAAGTACGACGAATACAATTCAAATGGATAGTCCATGAAATGTGTTTAGCTTCTGAACTACTCCCTTCCTGTTGTAAAGCACAATCATCTTTTTGTATAAGATGATAGAGAGCCCCGCACCCATCATACCTCGCGTTAATTCCAGTTAAATAATCCACTAAATCAAGTCAAATTAATCCTTGGCAAGCTGGTCATCAACGTGAAGATAATAGGGAGAAAGTATTACACAACTCCTTACCTGAAGTACGATATACTTCAACATGAAGCGTATGGGGAACAACTTGTCAAGCATATTCCGGATTCAATGGTCCAAGCGACGACTGCCTCCGTAGCCTCTCCTTTATATTCCGCAACTAACTGCTAGACGGATGAGTCTGGCTGGATAGGCCAACTCTTAACAGTAGTCTTGTACGACGACTAATTCTCTGAAAAAGCATAAGATATTGATGATTAAACCATAACTGACCTTAAACCTACTTGCTCATTCCCATGTCTGTGTGACAACATTCTCTTTCTACGGAAACTCGTTGGGCTTTGTCGTTAGATGTCAGTCATTACTCATTACTTATCAATATTCCTACGCAACAATCGGGTCAGCAGTTTGACTCACTGTAGAATTGCAATGGAAAAATAAAATATAATAAATAAATCTGTAGTGAGTAAAAATATTAAATAAGTTATTTGTTGCACATAAATCAAGTTTAGAAAACACTGCGATTTTTAGCATAAAGAAGTGAAGGAATTATGAATTTATATAGAAACTAGTTTTAGAGTCAGCAAGGGTAAATAAATAGAACTCTATATTTCTTTCTATATAATATATACCTAGAGCTTAAATACGTTATGGAATTTAATGTCAAATATCCCATATTTGGTTGTTTCCAATTTGTTAGTACATAATCTCAACATAACATGACACAAATTAACAGTAAAACCTACGAGGTTCTTATACTGAGAGAAAAGTTATGTTAAAAAACTGTCTTTTTAATGTTATATTTAAGCTTCAGAGTTCTACTGATGTTGATTTAAAAGGATGGTAGATATATTGGTTAATAAAACCATCAGGTAACGAAAATAAAACATTTTATTTCCTTAAAAAATACGATATCGCATTCAAAATTATATGTTTACAAAGAGACTAATATATGCAATAATGTAAAACACAGTAGATTATTAATAGATAATCAAAAATATTATGAAAATATTAATATTATGATCCAATTTATACTAATATATGTATTTGATAATATATTAATTAGCAGAACATTTTATTGGTTTGCTTGGTATGCTTTTTGGAACGTATATTAAGTTATAAATATATTCTGTATGACAGAATGCTGCTTAAACTTATTTTAAGCACAAGTAAACACAAGTGTTTGTTCATTAAACTAATGCAACATGTGTAGTGGTCAAATCCATACTTAAATCATGGAAATTTTGAGAACATGGGTTATTTTGATAATATTAATGGTAATTTTATTATCAATATTGATAGTTATGTATTGGACATATTTATTAATAATCGCCAAAGCAGGTAAAAAAGATGACCCTACTGTTTGTTTGTCGTAATCGGTTGCTGGTGTCGTTTTGTATTTTATATTAAAAATAGATATTAAAGTTTTGTTTGACATCAGCACTGCATTAAAGTGTAACCAACCGTGTCTCTATATTTATTTTCCATTATGCAACGGCGTTTAAACTAAACTCATTTTAAGAACATTAGCCTGTGAATAGTACACAAATAAGAGATAAATAAGAAATCAAGGAATTATATTAACTACGAAAAACTCTTTGTGCTCATGACAATACGGATATATCGCTACAGTTATATTAAATTTATGCTTAATAGTATTCTGGAGATATTATTTATTAGAATACAATGAAGGTAAAAAAGAGAATCATTTTTGTTACCTCTATTTACTTACAATTAGTGAAAATATTTACTTTTATCTTTCTTTTGGGACTATCAAGTATTTTTAGCGTTGTTTAAACCGATTGAGATTCAAATATAAATTGATTTTGTTTATAGACAACTAAACAAAAAAGAGAAATAAAAAAAGGTGTGTTAAACTGTTAAAAGGTGTTTCAAAACGCCTCTAGAATGGCGTGGTTCTCGATATTTGTCGTTATATTCATTACTTTACTGCTAGCATTTCTGTTTTGGTGTTGTGAAGATGAAGAAAGTAACATCTAAATTTCCGTTAATTTATGTGATAGTTTAAATTATCTGCGTTTATTTTTCAGGTGAATGTGGTGATGAAGGACAAGAAGGATCTCGAAATCGTGCTCCAAAAAGAACCCAACAACCATCTACTTTAGGAAGAACTATTAATTATACTTCTGGAACGTCTTATCCACTCCAAACATTTCAAACTGAACAAGTACGACAAACTCAATCGTCTATTTTAGGAAGAAATAATAGTTATAGTTCTGGTCCACCTTATCCACTTCGACCTTTACACCCGGAACCACTGCAACAAACTCAAACATCTTCATCAGGAAGAGCACCCTATCCAATTGTACCTTTACACCCAATGGCAAGTAATGATAATAATAATAGTTCTGCCATTGGGTGTGTTATTCCATCTGCCTCAGGTAATTAGTGTTATTTATAGTTATTTTTTTAAACTTTATGCCAAATCAAAGAAGTTTTCTTATTCATTTTTAACCTAATATCACATAAAAACATTAATCTATTAAACAATTTATTAAGAAAATATTAACCTAACGTATAGTACTATATCTTTACAGAGTATATATCTTTACCAAGTTTATAAACTTGTACTATTTACAGTAAACTTGTGACTATTGCCGCTGATAATCGATTTGCTATTACTAACTTAGCTTATAAAAGTTAAAAAATACCTAGACTGTTAAATTAGACAAAAATAATTCAATTAATTAACGTTACAGTTTTAGTTGTTATTCAATGCTAGATTGTTGCATATTTTTATTGCACTAAAAGTAGGTTAGGTCTGAAAATAGTTAGTTTTACACAAGTTTTGTTCACTTAGGATTCGAGTTTTAGAGTTTTACTACAATATCTATTGGGATTTGAAACGGTTATGTTTGTTTGGGATTATTCTTGTTATCGTCATAAAACCCTTTCTTCTAGTATTCGAATGATGTCAGTATTATTTGAAATAAATTCAAATTTCAGTTTCTACTAGGTGACACAAAATGTATCACCTATTTTATTTGACTACTTGAGTATTAAACAATTCGCCGTGTGGCTCGACTTGTACATACTAGGTCAACCCTAGATCAGAAACCACCTGGGTTGTCTCAAAAAATCCGGTCACTTGAGAACATCCAAGTTTTTAGAGATAGTGTCGAGGAGGAGTCATCAACATGGACGCGAAAACGCGCAACGCAGTAGTCCATTTCTCGGCGGTGTCTTCAAAGAATTTTCGAACAACATGCAGATGATTCAAGAACTGGTGCCGATCGCCAAACTGATATGGCATACAGTAAGAGGTTGTTGCAGCTGAATAACGAAGCGCCAGATTTTTTTTAGAAATTGATGATGAGATATGGGGCGTATTTCCACCGCTCTGGACATGTAAAGAAACAAAATACCCAGTTTTGAGCAACCAGTAATAATCGTGTTCTCTATGAGACACCACTCTATAGACAAAAAGAGTATGGTGAAGAAGACAATGGAAACTCGGTAACTGTCACAGACGAACGGTGCCGAGTCATGGTGAACGACTTCTTAATACCGAAACCGTTTGAGTTGAATTTCTAGGATTTGTGTTTCTATCAAAACGGTACCATGGTGGTTGGAATCGTCAGGAATAACTATGTTAAGAGAAGTGGGTTTTCGAAAGATTTCAAAATTAAAGTTTTGATGCTCTCTATCAATAGTTAAATCAAGAAAATTAAGTTTCTTATCACACCACTGTAACAGCCACAAACTTGCTGCATTCCGCTCATACATTGATCGCGTCTTTTCATACCCCATTAGCAATACATCCAGATTTAAAGAACTTAATTTTATCTTCAAACCTTCATCTAAATATGGATTTCCCAAAGGAATCATTGATAACATTCTGTACAGAAATATTATTAAACACGATCCTCTATATACACCAACAATAAAATCCAATAATATTTTCAAGTCACTCACTTACAACAGAATTAACTGTAAAATTAAACATCTTTTACAACAATATAACGTAAACATAAGTTTCAAAGGCAATAATCAGCTTATTGACATTTTTTCGAATTACAAACAGATTGAGAAAGATTGTAACAATAGTGGTGTTTATTCTATAAAGTGTAAGAATTGTCAAGCTATTTACATCGGTCAGACTGGTAGGAAATTACACACAAGAATGCAAGAACACAAAAATAGGCTATCATCTAACGTTTTTAAACACCACATCGAAACAGGTCATATTATTGACTATGACAACGTTAAATTAATTCATAAATGTGATAAGGGTCTTAAACTTCACTTATTGGAAAGACTAGAAATTGATAAAGAGAAAAAAAATATGAATTCCAACCTACTTAATGATCAAAGTAATGATGATTTCTATAAACCGTTGTTTTCTTTTCTTAAATATTAATAATTTTTTGATGATGTTTATATTCTTTTTAATTTTGGTTACATGAATACCGATTTTTATTCGTCAATATTTCTTGTTTGACCGCTTCATTGTGTTTCTTCTCGTGTTGTTTGACAGACATTTTTCCTTTCTTATTTTGGTCGTTCGTTCTATAATTTTATTTTGTTTAGAAGTGGTTTATTTTTAAAATACTTTATAAGTATTTTTGATTGTGATTATGTGTTGAACGTGTTTATTCTTTGATGTATTTTATCTTTTTACACCTTTGACTGTAAGTAGTGCTTTAATTTACTTTAACGTTTTAATATATTTGTTGCTTATGTTTATAGATTTGGCTGATGATGACGAAAGTCGAAACATGTACCATGTAAATTTAAATATATTTTAAAAAGAAAAAATTTTAAAATAAATTGAGACTTTGAGGCCCATTTGGTTTTTATAATTGTTTATATTCTAATACTATAATAGTCTCATATGGATTTCTTACAATTTATATTTTATTTATTATCGAGTATGGCTATATGTAGGGGAGATTTAAACACTTCCGTTTCTTAGAGTAATATATTGGCATCTCTATTAATATACAGGGTGATTCATAAGTAATGGGCCAAATTGTAAATGTACGTTCAGGAGGCCAAAATAATAATATTTTCATTAACAATAATGGGTCTTAGTCTGCTCCTTACTGAGATACAGGATGTTAAAGCGAAAAAAATAAAATAGATTTTTGTTAATAGATCAGCTACTTTTCTACATAATGACTCATAGTTGACTTATAGTTTTTGTAAGGGTAAACAATAATGTGTGAGAGGATTTGAGTTAACTCGTAGATGTCGCCACATGCGCCATATGAATTAGATGAAATCAGCTACAAATTTTTTATCGCTCATTATTTTACAACATACTTGTTTAATTTGGATAGCCCCATCATTTCTGTAGAAAAAAGCTATACTTCTTTGATCTTGAAAATATTAACGATTTTCGAGATATTTGAATTTTACTAATTCACTACACTACATTTCACGGTGGTCGACGTAGCATTAATCTGTTAAGACACAAGCATGGCATGGAATGTTGACATTTACCTAACCGTAATTGATAATTGATAACAATAAAATAATGAGCGATAAAAAATTTGTAGCTGATTTCATCTAATTCATATGGCGCATGTGGCGACATCTACGAGTTAACTCAAATCCTCTCACACATTATTGTTTACCCTTACAAAAACTATAAGTCAACTATGAGTCATTATGTAGAAAAGTAGCTGATCTATTAACAAAAATCTATTTTATTTTTTTCGCTTTAACATCCTGTATCTCAGTAAGGAGCAGACTAAGACCCATTATTGTTAATGAAAATATTATTATTTTGGCCTCCTGAACGTACATTTACAATTTGGCCCATTACTTATGAATCACCCTGTATAAATGAAAACAATGGTTTCTGTATAATAGTTGAACTAAGTACCTCCAAAAATTCTTGTGTTAAAGTTCACACTTATTAGTAACTTGGGTTGGATTAAAAAAATTCTATGAATACCGAAACAAATATTTTTGCTGTTACACCAGTATTTAAAAATTATCGAGAATTCCGGAATTATCGGCAATTGATACTACAAACACCAGTATTTTATCCATATTTGCAAAATTACAACAATAATTGAATTAGAATAAACATACAGTGTGTCCGTAAAGTAACGGATATAGACGATAAAATCATTATAAACGGTTTATAGGTATATCCTTGAAACGGGTCTAAAGATTTAAATTTTTTGGTGTAGATTTCAATTTTTTTCGCCATTTTTAAACGAGTTATGACGTCAACGATTTTTTTCAAATGGCAATCCTTTTTTATTACGGAATATGAAACAGGATTTTTTTCTGAATCTAAAATTTTCGAGAAAAATTACTTTAAAGATTAACTTCTTCAAATTTGCTTGACATGATAAAAATAGCAGTGGCCATGAGTAACTATTAGTAATTATGTTAGACAGGTAAGGTTTCCTCAAAAAGTAAGAACTGAGGACAGTATCCCGTACTATTTTGCTCCACACATTGATGCTTTGCGGATATTGGGTGTGCGACTTTCTTGCCCAATGTGGATTTTGTGTAGCCCAATACCGACAATTTTGTCTATTTACATGTCCACTCAATGTGAATGTTCCCTCGTCGGAAAAAATATGTTTTTGACAAAGTCCTCGTCATCGTAACAAAATTGTTGTTAGAAAGACTACAACTCATTGCTCGTGAATGAGGTTTACTTTATAGAAATAATATTTTGCGGTTTTTAAAATTTCATGAACCGTTGATTTATTAATGTCCAAATGCGTCCCAATACCCGTGACAGTAACATAAGGGTTTCCTTGCCCAGTCAAAAGAATATCGATGACGTCATAACTCTTTAAAAAATGGCGGAAAAAATTGAAATTTACACCAAAAAATTGTAAAAAATTTAAGTCTTTAGGATCTTAAGGATTTTTTCATAAATTGTTTATAATGATTTTATTGCCTATATCCGCTACTTTGCGGACACACTGTATAATATCTATATGATTTTCTAAGGCAAAACTTTAACAGCCTGTGTATTATGTTCCAATTGATTCCCCACAAAAAATCAGTTCATTTGACTATGAACGTTAATAAAAAAAAATAATTATTTTCACAATCGAACTTTTGTCATCATCAAATACACTTTAAAACGGGGTGTAGATTAAATACAAGTGTAGATAAGTTTCGGGGAAATTGAAAAAAAGTCTGCGATGCAAACAAAATATACATTAAATTTTAGCCATATCTGCAATAAAATATAACAAACAATTACAAGTGTTCCAAGATTAAATGGTCATGAAACTATTACGTCATATATAATGGAGCAAAATAAATCAATTGAACATAATTTATATATACATAATTACTCGTTTAAATTTTTTAAACGTGAACTTTAAACGTAACTGATTATTCGAAAAAGCAATTAATTACAATCATTTATGTAATTAATTAATATTAAAGGAATAATATTGGACTAGTTGGACAATGCGTCACCATCAAATCATTTTAATGGTAACAGAATCGAGACGATTTGAATTACTTATAAGAAATTGTAAAGTATCAAAAATGCTCTGCTTTGTTAAAGAAAAATTCAGTAGTCAGTAATATACTGAAGTTGTGTTTGTGATATTCAAAATTAATTAAAATGTTGTTACTACCAAATCTAAAATAGGCATTATCACGTAATTAAACGAAAATTATCCGGAAAGATTATCTTTAAATCCATTTGCTTTTTTCATTTGGCGTGCTATGAAAGCTAAAATTTATCAAACAAGAATCGATGCAGTAGAGCAGTTGTGAAGACGTGTTTAGAATACAGCAAACTCTTTACAGTGACAATTTTAAAGCGATATTGTTTACGTGACCGTATTGGCTTTATTGTTGTCTTTACTCTTGTTATTGTTATTTCTAATAAAATATATAGACTTCTATTCGATTAATTGAGTCCCATGGCTATTAGTTTACAGCAGCCACTAAAATTTTACTTTTGAAAAGACGGAAAATTACGAGGAATCACGAAATAGCGAAATATTAATTCACTTATCTCCGTTCACAAAAGAAAAAGCTTCTCTAGGTCCTGATAAAATCTCAATTTGGATTTCAGTCTGAAGGTTGATTTCATTTGAAGGTCTGTCGGCAGGATCATGATGTTCTTGCGTCGGGAAATAATCGGAATTAGTTTGTAGGTTTGAAACTTTCATGTGAATGGAAGCGGTGCAATACCTTCTGGAGTTATTCAAGGAACTTGATGGTGGTAAAACTGAATATACACCATTGGGAGAGAGATATAAGTTCAGCAATGGAGTCTTTCGTATTCCTGTTTTTGGCGCACGAAGGGTTCTTCCCAATTTGCACTGAACATAATATCTTCGAGATAAATCGGCGCAATTTTCAGTAGGCATCTTGGTGAAACATCTTGAGAGATAAGTCTTTGTTATAACAATATGACGTGGACTTTGTACGGATCAAGAGTGGTAAATACGGTCATATCCATCGATTAGCCAACCATAGAAATCTGCCTATATTAGGATCATAGGCTGATTGTGAGATGTTTTCCATATTCTAGAAAGTCTTTGCTTAGCGGAAGTTTCTCTCGATTTTTCTTAAATACTATCATAATCGGTGAAGAATATTCGGATCGACTCTCGTCAATGTCCCACACCAACTTTTATTTGCCTCTAAATATCTATATGATGGATGTTGGAATAACTTCGCCTTCTTGATGACTTCGAGTTAATGCTCGGTTGAAACAGTAATGAAGATATAGCGATATCTGTAAAATAAACTCTATAATTGCCGGGCGTTCTTCATGGTACCATTATTATTATTATTATTGCTGCCGGGCTGTGGAGAGCAGCCCCTCTCGTCATCGCAACCTGAGATCTATTGTAACTTAAACCCTCCAAAGATTTAAGGCAAAACGAAGTCCTTGATGAACCATAGTATTGCTCTAAGGTTTTGTTAGGCTAGGGCTCCTCTTTTTAGTTGAGGCTAAACCTAAAAGACTTGGTTCAAAATAATTCTCAGGTGATGAAATGTAGTAATGAACAAACCTTCTTGTAACCTTCTTCCCAAACAAGTCCGAAGTATTTTTTTAGTTAAAAAAGAAAATCAATGACGCGTTAAAATACCAAACCAGATGCTTATGTTACAAAAATTATTTTCAAGAAATGAACACTGCTGCATTTAAAAATTTAACAAACGACACAATTCTATTATACAATCAATTATATAATTGGTATTATATGCCTATGGCAGTGCATAAAATTCCTGTGCATAGCCTTAATAATAAAATCATTCAAGTATCCAGATTGGCCTGCTTTAAGAGATGATGCGCAAGAATCTCGGAATAAAGACCTTAGAAGGTATAGAGAAAACTTTTCCAGAAAAATGTCAAGAATAGAAACATTTTCAAGAAACAATAATAGAGACATTTTAAACCGACTATTAATATCTTCAGACCCAATTATAACATCATTTCATAGCAATAAATCAAGGAATAATACAGATTTTTCTGAAGAACTTATAAGCCTTTTCTGTTTTGAAAATGATGAAGAAAGAAATAATTTTTTAAGTACGAAGGCTTTCACGGCCGGTGTGAATTAAACTAAGATTAGAACTAAAACTAGAACTAACACTAGAAACTTTCGGGTTTTGCCGTGCGTCTTTTAATAAAAGGTTTGACGTTTCGGATGCCATGTTGCAACCTTCTTCAGAAAGTGTCACTCACTTCGAACCAGTTTCTGAAGAAGGTTGCAACATGGCATCCGAAACGTCAAACCTTTTATTAAAAGACGCACGGCAAAACCCGAAAGTTTCTAGTGTTAGTTCTAGTTTTAGTTCTAATCTTAGTTTAAAATAATTTTTTATCGTCAATTGCAACTAATATAGAAATTGTAAAACACAGTGAGGACCAAGAAAAATAAATATAGGTATAAAAAAAATTTTAAAACAGTATGTTAAAATACTAAACTTGCTTATGGGTTAAAACATAATTTGTGGTTATCATTACATTATTAAACATTTGTCACAAATTAACACAGAAACAGAGAATAGCGTAGTTTACTCTATTATTGCAAATAAAATAGTAACAGTATTTTTTAACTGCTATTTTTTCGGAGACAACTACATGAAAAATACTCAGAAGTTACGTAGAATCCATAAATGCAACAAAAAAATGGGGGTTCCTATTTTAAAATATTAACATATGGTATCTCAATTTTGGGACCCTGTACATTTCAATTGTATCTCAAAAAATGCGCGTTAAAAAATACAGCATAGATATTCAAGAATTTTTTTCTGGAAGTATATCCCTCAAATTTTTATCGAATTGATTTCATACTTTGTGTACACAGTGTATACTGGTGTCTCACGTAACTGGTTCATTAGAACTTTTTTAGGGTCCACTATTTGTACAGTTTTGATATTTTGGTAGCATGGGTTGTTCATTCGGAACTTTCGATCTAAAATATTTTCAAGATGGCTGCCACTTCCGGTCTACCGGAAGTAGACCATAACTTCGTTATTTTAAATGGAATGCTACAGTTTTTATTACACCTTTTAATTGTCTTTAATTGTTTTTTAATAGTCAACATATTTTTTTATGTCCAATTAAAAAGTGTAATAAAAACTGTAGCATTCCATTTAAAATAACGAAGTTATGGTCTACTTCCGGTAGATCGGAAGTGGCAGCCATCTTGAAAATGTTTGAGATTGAAAGTTCCGAATGAACAACGTATACTACCAAAATTTCAAACCTGTATGAATAGTGGAACCTAGTTTTAACGAACCAGTTACGTGAGACATCCTGTATATATTATAGTATATAAGTACCGTCTTTTTCCGAAAATAAGACACTGTCTTACTTTCTTTTTGGTCCAAAATACGCGCTAGGGCTTATTTTCGGGGGAGGGCAAAAATAAAAGTATATTTATATATTTTTATTTAATATTTATTTTACACAGAATACAGAAATTTAAATTTATTCAATTACAGTCATGTCATCTTCTTCTGGAACATCGTCATAAATAAAATTCTGAATTATATTCTGATTTTCTTCCAAATCCATTTCCTGTTGAATCATTGGTCCGAATCTCTCATGTCTTGCGATATAGCTATCGTTAAATGAATACTTCTTGTCTAAGTAGCCTGTTCGTAGTGCATTGGAAACATCATTATCAGTTATTTTGTCCCATGAATTTTTTACCCAATTCACAACTTCTTGTAAGCCTGGTTTTACAAAATTACCTCGATGATTTCTCACCATTCTGTTTTCAATATATTCATTGATTTCCATCCGCAAATGATCCTTGAATGGCTTGTTTATTGCAATGTCAAGTGTCTGGAGGTAACCAGTCATTCCTGCCGGAATCATTATTTGATCAATCTTCCTCTCAGCAAGAAAGTTTTTCATGTCTTTAGCGCGGTGAGTACTGGCTGAATCCCAAACTAGTAAACCTCTATTCTGACCCCTCAACAGTGGTGGCAGCATAAAATCAACCCACTTTCTTATAACTGCTTGGGTGCACCAGGCTTTTTCACTTTCAATGACATAAATTCCTGAAACACGTTGAATCTGGTCTTTTTTACCTTTAGTGATTAAAAATGGCGATACTTTCTTGCCATCTAGACGAATAGCCAAAATACAGGTAACACGTGCACTATCGTAACCGGTAGAAGGAACGTAAATTGACGAAGAAGCCTTGTGGTGAACTGTCGTTTGAGCTCCTTGGCCTAGGAATACCACGGTCTCATCCATAGCAATCATGTTGGAGAGTTGGTATTTCGAAAAATCGATGCCATCAACAAAAAGCTTAAACGCAAGTGCACGCTTAACAACTTCATTGTCTTCCAGCTTAAACAATGTTGTTGATCTCCTTAGAGACAGTTCATATCGTTTAAGGAAGTTGTCCAACCAGTGTGACGATGCTTTCAATTCTTCTGTGGATATATCAAATTCAATTGCTGTTTCAAGAGCAAATTTTTGAATATCAGCCCTGCGCACAACCAAAGCCATTGCTCTCCTGCCTGCAATCCATTCCCAGATGCAATCTTCCAACTCAGAAAATAACGATTGCCGACCTGATCCAGCTCTGCGTTTTTTCTCATTTCCTTGGTCCACCAGTTGACACAGGTAATCGTAGTCTGCACGCCATTTACGAACCATACGGAGATCCAGCATCTTCTGTTTACAGAATTACACCCCTGGAGTCTTCCACGATTCCCTTTTTGTACTCGACGGAATAGCTCTTTTGTTTTGTACTCATTTTAACTGGGGTTATAAAAATATTCACTATATTTTTAAATAAAATTACGTATGATTAAATAATCAGACTTACAAGACTGAAATTATTTACGTTGAACACCGTATACCCTCTGTTCCGTAGTGTGAACAGTGTGGACCTTCGATGGTGCGTACAAGTGCATTGTGCCTCTCTGTCAGGGTTTTTACTTATATACCACTCGGGGAAATCCCTTATTTTGTACTTTAAAGCACATTCAATAGCTGTGTTTGGTACACTTGCTATAAATACTCCTAGTGTAGCAAGTGTAGTGCAGTTTTCAACTCTCAGTTTTCAACACATTTTCAAAGTGCATAAGTGTAACAATTTTAGGTGTTTGGTAAAACGGATTATTATGACAGTTATAGGTTATGTAATCTTTATTATTTTTGTAGGAAGTTGAATAATTTATTATTGATCAAAGAATCAAGATGAATAAATCAAAAAAAGGAAATGTTGCCTGTAGTTTTCCCCCTTCATCATAAATTATTTTTACATTTAACTGTCTTTCAATTTTAGCCATTATATTTAACCGGAGAACTTCCTATTGGGTTTTTAATTTTAATTGAATAGAACGTTTTCTACAAATCAAACTGTTATTTATTGTTTTTACTAGCTTACAATATTTTATTTTTGTTTAAATAAATCTAACTTTGACACTTTCAAAAAACTAAATACGTCTTAAAGGTTATGTCGACTTACACTACACTTCCTACACTTGCCGGCGAGTCGGTGTGAAAAGTGTCTGCACTTTTAAAACTCAATCGCTTACCAAATGTGGCGGCACTATCTACACTTGTTTGCACCAGTCTACCAAACACTATTTTTAAGAAAAAGTGTGCACTGGTGTACGTTAGTGCAAGATACCAAACAAAGCTAATATATCGTGTGTTTTAGAAGATTAATGCACTCCAATAATATACAACCAATCAGAGTAACGATCGTTTAAAATTTCGACCAATAACGTGATTTTCTAAGTGGATAAAAGTTACCTAGGTTTTTCAACTGAATAAATCACACGTGATATTTTATAACTGATAAAAACGCGACTACCATATATATACTTTTGTTTACCTGTCACATTTTTGACAACTATAATTAAGTCAAAAATAGTTTATAAATAATTAAAAATTCGATAAATTGTGCAATTGTCGTGTATTAATCTCCCTAAAATACGCTCGAGCTTGATTTTAAATCAGGATAATTTTATTTTTAATTCACTCAAGTTTTGTTACCCTTTGGAAATAACTCTCAATCAAAATCAAAAGATAAAATCGCTCCAGCTAAAGCTGTCGCGATTTTATCATACTTTTGATTTCGAGTTATTTCCATGGTAACAAAACTTATAAAATAAAATTATCCGATTAAAAGCCAAGCTCTTGTGTATTTACCCCCGAAAAATTGTACAATTGGTTTCTTAAAGAAAGAGAAAAGAATTTACGAAAGGAAAGCTAAACATATTATTACTTATACTTAATAAATCCACAGCATTTTTTAACGAATTCTTTTTGTCACATTATTTTAACTAGGGCTTATTTTCGGAGGATGTCTTATTTTCGTAAAAAGACGGTATATATTACTTATTGTTAGGGTACGTGAAATAAATGTACCATGTTTTCGGAGTTACATTAGCTTAAACATCCAACCCAACCCACAACAAAAGCTCTGTTTCGCTTTTATTTTCAAATATTCGTTTCAAAATCCTAAATTTTGTTTTAAGCACTTTTTATAGATGAAATAAATCCTAGCTAACCATTAAGGAGATATTATAATGGTATTAAACATTTTCAACTTCATTTAGTTGTAATTAGATTTTTGGCCAGATATTCATAACTTCCTAACACTGTGGGGCGCTCCGACTGCCCATAAGGATCTTTATCGATGCATCTTGCTATTCCATTATAAAATTTAAATCTTTAGATCTGTTTTAGGGATTTTTCCATGAATCTGCTTTACGGAAGCACTGTATAAAGCTTGTTCACACAAACCTGCCAAATCGTTTCTGACCGGTTTCAAACTCGAAATTCTATTCGCACATATCAAATGATGCAAGTAATAAATTACAAACTGTCCTACGAACAAACCTATAGTAATTTCATTAAACATTCATAAAACATAATATTTAGCTAATTTTGTATTGAATAAAGTGTTTTTGATACGTGAATATGAGGTTCACTAGTTCTGAGTAAAACAAATTAACGCAATCCCCTTTAATAAAGATTACATTATTTGTAGATAAGATTTAAAAGCATTTACGTGAATCATACGATTAATTAGAATGTTAAAAGGAAACTATAATGCTCTATAATATAATATCCTAAAACCTATTATATTTATTGATTTGTTGTTTAGGATCTCAAGTACCGCCTGGATCATTACAAACACCTCCGCCATCATACGAAGCAGCTACATCAGATCGTTTTTAATAAACCACCTTATAAATAATCTTTAAGTTATTGTTAGTTTTTATAAGTAATGTTAACTTTATGGTTAATAAGAATTTACAATTTTATTTTTGAATGTTAATTTCTTGGTTATTTATAATATTATATTATTCAGGGATTTATTCAGGAATATATTTTTAATTTACATAAATAAAACATTAATTAAAACTTTTTGATTCAAAAACATGATACGCCACTGATTATTTCCCCCCACTCCATCCTCTAAGTAGTTGAGTTGCTAAGTTCACTCTTATTGAATCTAATTCGTTTGTTGACAACTTCCTAAACGAAATTTCTTATCAATTTTTGCATTCAGCATTAATCACATTTTATTTTCCAACAGTATGCACATTACGTAGTCCAAAAATAGTTAGTTCCCGGTGAGTCATTCGATTGATTTGTCGTAGAAGCCGAACCGGACGAAGTTTTAGTCTGTAGAACAAATTAAAACGTGTAAAGCCTCCAAACGCCTTCACAATGGATATTGGTTCGATTGTAATTGTAGTGGTTATTATTTGTATTATGGTAAGCTGCTGCGGATATTGTTGCCAAAGACATCGAGGAAAAGTGTTGGGACGTAAGTAAATACAAAGTATCATAAATTTAGGTGATTCATATGGTTGTTGCGAAGAGGTTTCTTTAAAATTGGTTGTTTTTACTTTAAAAGTGGTACTTTCGTTTTATTAAAAAAAAACATGGTAATATTTGGTAGTTGGTTAAAAATTAATACCTAGCTCGTAATTAAACTTTATTGGAATTTAGTTATTCTTACAATGAATTTATTCCTATTAAAATAATTATTAATAATTTGTTTTAGCTGCTCCAACATTAACTACGTCAGTAGTAACAACAACAGCAACATCAGTTCCACATCCGCCATATCCAGTGGCCCCTCAACATCCAATTCCACAGCCAGCACTTGTTCCGGGAATAGGATTTCAGCCGACAATGCAACCAGGATCATATCCATATCCTGTTAATCAAGGTAAACATAATCTTGATAAAAGAAAATATCAATTTCAGTATTTGTAATAACAGTAACTAATTTTTTATTTAATTTTGGTTGTAAAGCTCCTGGATATTACTATCCGCCCCCTCAAATGGGTATGTTGTCATATTATCATCCTAGCTACTATTATTATTCTTTAGGTATACATGTGGTAGTGATAAGATTTTTTTGTTTGCTTTTAAAGTTTGCCAAATAATAAATTAGTTTAGCACACTGAGAAACATAATTACAATGGAATTTTACATACAACAGTATAATAATTATAATCATAAGTAGAGCTAGGATTTTTATGCAGTCAAATTATGGGAAATGTGCGCATAAATATGCAAGCTTTTTATTCAAAATATGCAAAAATATGTGGAAATATGCAAACATATAATAATAATAATAATAAAGGTCTTTATTTCTCTCTAAACCTTTCTTATAGTTGTTATCAATCTATTTCTATCACATTTTTGTATATGTTTTACACTTTTCACATGTTTTTCTATTTATTTTCTTCCTCTCACACGTTATCTTAAAAAAGAATAATTAAAAAAGTTTGCCATAGATACTCTAACAGATGAAAATTTAATTCTGAGACATATGAGAGAGATTTGTCTAGAAACATGTGTAAAAACATATTCCAAAAAGATGGGACATCAAATTTAATATAGTTTTATTTAGTTTTAATTTAACAGTTTTCCATATTTTTTAACTCCTAGTGTAAAAGTCTATGAAAAATACAATTTCGGAACAAACCATTGGCAACTCCTCTGAAAACTCTAATTTTCAACTTAAATCTTTGGCTAAAACGCTGCGACATAATTAAAAAAAAAAAACTTACAACTTTGGCACAAGTTTTATAAAATAATTCCTCATTATTTAAATTTAATTTGGGATAACTTTTTATCCACTGGGACACAAGACGCGATATCACGTTAGACATTGTTGTTATAGATTGGTAGATTAATGTTCATTCACACTGAACACAGTAATTATGGTTGGGGATTTCCTTAAACTTAAACTCAACAACGCTAGGGATTCCCCGCATGTTTCTGTGAATCGTTGTAAACAAGAAATCAACCCGCAATCAAAAAATATCCTGTATTGTGCTTTAAACTAAAAGGTATGTTCGCATATTTAAAAATCACGCAGTCATTATACAGGGTGATTTATAACATACGGAACAGACTAAAAGGGTAGGTACTAGAAGCCAAATTGAAGATATTTTCCTAATAAAATTTTGACCACAACTTAATAATCACAAAGATATAGAACGTTAAAGTTGAAATAATGGCCGAGCATTTCTTACCATATACGGTATTACACTACGTTTAAATTCAAACTGCGAATATTTCGGGGTTACTTAACCCATTCAGGACCAGTGATAGAAATAATTAAAAAAATTCTAATTTTTATGTCAATAAACCTTTATTTAGGTCTTTAGAAACAATCTTTAAAATATAAAATACAACATACTTAATACATTTTGGTAGATTTTTTGAACAATATTAAATAATTATTCGTGAGACGATTTTTTTTATAAAAAGAAATAATTTTATTTCATACTAATATTTCGATCGTTTTTTTCGATCTTCATCAGAGTATAACTAAAATACAAAAGCAACTAAAAATAACAATCTTACAATAAAAGTGAATTATTTACTAATTATGTTTCTTAAGGAAATAACATAAATGAAACCATAAAACGTTTATAACAATAATTGGAGATGTAAAAAGTTTATGAAAAATAAAAACGTGAAAAGTGACAAATATATTGAAATAAACAAATCAGTACTGGTCAATCATATTACGTCACAAATAAAATTCATTTATTTTTATTATTTTTATTTTTATGTATTTGAAAAAGATATGAATAAATGTTACTCAAATTTTCTGTATCTAACTTGAAATTTACAATATTATTTTCAGCGTTAATATGAAACATTTCAAGGAGTAATCTATTATGATAATTTGATTATCCAAAATTATTGTGTTTTCAAAATCAAAAATATGGTTATAGTCAACAGCGTGTTTTGAGAGCACATGATGTTTTTTTCAATTTAGTGTCACTTTTGTGTTTATTAATTCTACTTTTTAACCATTGTTTAGTTTGTCCAATGTATTTACCATTACAATCTTTACAAGTAATGCAATATATACGTTCCGATTCTAAGAATTTTTCTGTTTTATCTTTTAAAGTTGAGAAATATTTATTTAATTTTTTTGGGTATATATTAATGAATGTTAAATTATCTCGTTTTAAATGTATTCGAAGTAATTCTGTCAATCCAGGAATATATGGAATTTTTTTATATTGTTTTAATTGTGTCGATGTATTAAAATTTGTACTAATGTTATGTTGTAAATTAGTGGAAAATAGTAATTTATTAAAGAGTTTTCTTGGATAACCATTATTTTCAAACATATTACGTAAAATTTTCAGATTCTTATCTTTAAACTGTGGTTCGACTATACTACATATTCTATGTTTTAAAGTAAGCACCGTAGCAATTTTATGTTTGAAAGTGTGGTACGAATAAAAATTTACATATCTACCAGAATATGTTGGTTTTCTATACCAATCAAAAATAATTTGGTTTTTTTCATCTCTAATCATAATAGTATCCAAAAACTTTTGAAATACTTTTGTTATTTTCTCTTTCGATTGTAAAACGAATGTTAGGATGAAATTTGTTAAACACATATAAAATATTATCAATATAATCTTCTTTACGTTTTATGGTTTCATTTATGTTATTTCCTTAAGCAACATAATTTGTAAGTAATTAACTTTTATTGTAAGATTGTTATTTTTAGTTGCTTTTGTATTTTAGTTATACTCTGATGAAGATCGAAAAAAACGATCGAAATATTAGTATGAAATAAAATTGTTTCTTTTTATAAAAAAGATCGTCTCACGAATAATTATTTAATATTATTATCAATTACGATCGATTAATTTCTTTTATTTATTGTTATAATGGGATTTTTTGAACGTTGCGTTAACGCAACATTGGGACCAACTCCATAGTAAATGGAAATTTACATTTGATGCACATAAATACTATCGTGCTTTGATATACCCTGCAGCGTTGTCTCCACTTTTCATTGTTTTTTGAATTATGTATAACACATTATAGTTACAAAAATGTGTCCTCTGGTGTATCTTAACTGTTGTTGACACTAATAAGGCTTCCTACAAATTCCTATCTATAATCCCACTGAGAAATTGGTTTGTCATTATATTGTTTGCCTGTGCATTTTTAAAGTATTTACTATGGCGGAGTCTAACATATTTATAAATGGCAACCACCATTTTTTCCCTGGTAATGGTATTTCAAATATAAAATTTCCTCATTGGTCAAATTGTCAACTTCGTGTGAAATATAACCAATATCAATTACTTCGTTGAGATCAAGATCTTCAAAAATTGCTTCAAGTTCTTTTAGCATTAAAGGCCTTTTGGGATTATAGTGATATTTGACCCTACTCTAAAGTCGGAAATATACCCTGACGCATATATATTTACACCACTATAAAATTGTACATACCATAATAAAATGTTCTTGAGTCCCAATATTGTGATGTACTCACTTTTCTACACTTATTACAAAAGTTATAAAATTATATGTACATAGTGAACTTTTTTTTAAGCATTACTTTGGAAAGATCAAAAAGGTATCAAAAATTATATTTGCGTAAACAATATTTTTCTTCTCTTTACCTAAATTCAATAAAATATGTATTTAAATGCTTTATTTATTAATAGCAATAATATTCTCAATTTTGTCGTAATTTGGGGCGTAAATGAAATCCGGCTCGTCGAATAAACATAATTAAAATATATATTATATACTTTCTATTGTAGATAGTAATTTTTAACTTTTATTTAATTAATAAACGACTCTGAATGCCACCAACCTAACCAACTATTTGCAGTCACAAAAACAACTTCAAACAAGTTTACGAATGCAATTCATATGTATATCTACTGGTAGTGGCTAGGTCCCAATGTTGCGTTATCGCAATGTTCAACTTCAAAGTCACTTGGAAACTAGATTTTGTAAAAATAATTAGCTATTCCTTCACATTCTTGTTCTGTGAAGTATGCTGTATATGAAAAATATTTACGATTAAAAAAAAATTATAATAAGAGTTCCTTTTTACAATGTTTTTAAATTTATATTACCATGCTAAAAAGTTCACCATTTTTGTTAATTTATATTTATGCTTAAAAGTTGAATTATCTATGATAAAAAATGCATAGGTGTGCTCTTAAACAAATAGTGTTTTTCTGATAAAAAATCAATGTTTTTAAATATTAAAAAAAAAATCATTTTGCGAATGTTGCGTTTACGTTAAATTATTTAAAAAATTAACATACGATATCTATGTAACTATTAAGTTTTTAACAAATGTTTTGTTTTAGAAAATCTTTTCAGTTTTACCTCTAGTACCTACCCATTTAGTTTGCTCTGTATGTTATAAATCACCCTGTATTTATTTTATTAAGCAACAAGAAACAAATCTAGTAAAATGAAAAATATGCGCAAATATGCAGTAAAAGGCCAATTTATGCAACAATCCAAAAAATTGTAAAAATATGCAATTTTTTTATTGTACCATCTGCCTTATTTCTATGTAATTCGCCCAGAAACCAATTTTGAAAAAAATATTCCAGAAAAAAGATGCATTTTACATAAAATCCGAGCCCTAATCATAAGTAGGTTTTTCATAATTTATTTTCTTAAAATTAACATTTTTATCATTCTTTTTTATAACAGTTATGCTCATTTATCTTTTATTCATAAGTTACAATATATTACAAGAACGAATTAGTTTTGTTAGTGGATGAATATTGATGCATAATCTTTTAAGATGATAAATAATAGTTTGGTAGTAGCTTTAACCTATTATACATTCACTACATGTTCCAAATTGGACAAGAACCAGGGTTGATTCTAACTTTTTAAGACACAATTTCCTAACCAGGGGGTGAAATACGTTTCCGTTTTTGAAAGAAAAATGAATGTAATGCGTAAATTAAACATCATTATATGATTCAAGTTGGTCACTGTAGTAGTGACGATGTTACAGCAGACACAAAGTC